GAGCCGAAGGGCCGACAGGCTGCAGGAGAGATGGAATGCGTCGCGCGCCAGCCGGAGTTTCGGGAGAAACGCTCGAATTTACGAGTTTGGTCTCTCGCGTTAGCGCGAGATTAATGACCCCGGACGGGCGCAGCTGCCGCGGATGGAAGAAGCGCAGCAAAACCTGAAAAAACCCACCCCATGAATTCCGAGATGCCTCGAGACGCCGTTTTTAAAACGAGGCTTCTAGCTCATCCGCCCCCCTCCCTCGATACCTTCGCATTATCGATGGTAAACAGCGTCGACTATTTGTCACCGTCGCGTCGCCGTTTCGCCCGCGACGATGACGACGACTTTACGTTGCGATTTCGAACGGGCGAGCGTCGGAGGGGAAGCCGTGTATGCGATGCGCGCCCGTACGTACCCGTGGTGGGGCATCGCCGACGGTTTTCGCGCCCAACGGACGGCGGGGGAAACCAGGGAAACCCCACGCACGGCGCATGCACCGGTCGCGCAATTGGCGTGGAAGGGGAGGGGGTTCCCTCAACCGACGGCGCCAGGATCAAGCCTCCCCCTGTCCCCCCGCGCACCCTTTCCTACGTCCAGCACAACGCGCGGCGGCTGGCTCCTCGTCGGTACACTCTCTCGCTTTGGAAGGGAGTGCACTGATCACACGCGCGGCGCTGTGCCTTCTCTCTGTCTCTCTCTCTCTCTCTCCCTGCCACCCTCCTCCGCCCGCCCGCCCATCCGTTCCTTCCCCTCCCCCTTCCTTCTCCGTCATCTCTCTCCCTTTCTCTGTCTCTCTTTATCCCACCAACTCGATGTGTTTGTTTGTTTATAGTCGCGTTCTGGGAAATACCCGATACGCGAGTAACGGAGCCTCATACACGCGCCGCGCCGCGCGCGCGGCCGCTTGCATTCCCATTCTGGAGTTGCATCCGGTCGGTTCTCGGATTCCTCCGAGACTTCGGAAAACGGCCGGTTGGCGGTATACGCGCGGCCCCGAACTCCCAAGTCCCGCGACGTACCACGGATGCTCTTCCCGCCCTTTTTCGGTCTCTCAGATAGGTACCTGTGACCCCGATGAGCCTTTGAACTAATCCGCACCGACGGTAAAAGCTTTTGAATAATCGTCGAGATGATAATCCGTAGTACAAGCAGGTACACCATGACGATGGAATGCGTCTAGGCTAAGAATAGAAACGGATCCGAAAACAGCAGGAAAGCGCCCTGTCTCACACAATATTCTAACTTTCACATTTTACACGGTCACATCCTGTGTTGTCTACAATTCTTGAAATTCCAAAACCGTCCACCTAGAGAACAGTTTCAAATATTTGTGACTGTAATTGTATAGTAAAATAATACTAGTTAAAAGCTTCATTTTGTTTTATAGTCATTACTGATATAACGTAATAATAATAATTATATTTATAGTTATATAATCAACTGAACAATTAATATTCAACACAAATGAATGAAGAAAGCTACATTCGGTCAAAGCAGATTATTAATATTCTTATAAAGATGCTTATTAGCATCAAAAATTACGAATTAGATATACAGATAAAGTCACATAAAAATATTTAAGCACTAAGATCTGCTTTGACCAAATTTATTTCTCTTATTTGATTAGATTTATTCTCATCGATATAAATTCATATTATAATTGTGCCTAATAGTATATTTTTGTGCGAGTTTTACAATTTGAATATTTACAAATACCAGAAACTGTTCTCTCAGGGTGTAGTCCAGTTACACTTTGGAGATCTACTTATAATTTATTAATATAGACAGAATGATTGGGCGCGATCGTCGATCATCGTCGATGCGGTGGCCGCGCGCGCGTTCCCTTCCGTAAATCTTCTTGACGCGCCGATAGATAATCTTCTGGTGTGGTCGACATACGGCGGGCAGGAGACGCGTACGAAATCGATAACGGAGGACACGCCGCGGCTTATCGGCCGGCGTTTCTGAAAAGTAGTCCACCTGTAATCTCAGGAATGCACTACGTCAGCGGCAATCCGCAGTGTACATACGTACGCGCGCGTATACGCCTGTCTGCAGATCGCACGACAAACATTGTACAATGATGTTGCGTAATGACGCGTAATGGCGACGCCGCGTGACCCATACGAGTACGTAGCGGAGCCCACATGACGCGACGATAACGTTAAAGATGATGGTTAATTAAGCCTATTCTACAATGTGCTTTTTGTTTCCTGTTTCTTGCTTTTTGCTATTTTATGTATCTTGCCTTTTTGCTTCTTATCCCGTTTTTCATTTTTTGTTGCTCGAGATAAACGTTAACGAACTTCAGAAGAAACAGAAAGCACATATCAAAAAATATAATTGTCGATAAAACGATCACAAAGAAGAAAAAAGCAAAGAGTAAAAAGCAAGAAACAGGAAACAAAAAGCACATTGTAGAATAGGCTTTAGGAGCCACGATGAGAGGGCGGAAAACACGGAAAGTACACTTTGCAAAGAAAATCTCCCGGTGCTGGTACGGAAAAATTTCTCTTTTTTGTTTCCCAATTTTTATAAATATTTTTACATATATATATACATGTCTGTCTCAAAAGTTTCTGAATTTTGTTTAAAAATTTAATTTTCTTATGTGATTTTTGCAATTTCATTTATTAATTATTCGAAATACATTCTATCGGAAGTAATACAGTCTTTATAGTATCTATTCATACAATTTTTAGAAATATCTTTAATAAATATCTTCACCGAAAAATCTCTATAAACATCTCTAAAGATAAACTTCTTTTGAAATGAGGGGAATGACCTCGAAAAACTTCTTGTATTTCACAATTATCAAAATTGTTTTAGAATGTTATCTTTCCGGCTTTATGTTCGACTTTGGAAAAAAAAATAATCATAGGAAGCTAGACACTGAATGATTTAGGATACCTTTCAAGATTATGTTTATTTTTTTTGACAAGTGTCAAAAACGTACTTTTATTTTGACGTCACAGTAAATAAATATGAACAAAAAAACGTAACAGAGTTAGAAATAAATTTCATAGAGAAAATAATTCCATACTATTTTAATAGATAGTTTAGTTATATCTCGTAGAAAATAAGTTCGAAAAATTTGAGACAGATTGCGTATGATGGAAAGAAATGTTATATATATAAACTAAATTAATATAATATATTAAAGTATTATATTAATACATAATTATATATATTAGTTTTTATATAAAACTTATACATTTTTTATATAAAACTATATTATAATTTTATATATGTAATTATATTTTACAATATATCGCGTAAAATCCTAGTCTGAGATTCTATGCTTTGTTTTCGTAACGTCACACTCTTGTGTTCCTAAACAAATATGTACAAGTATGAAGGAGATTTTAGATAATGTCAAACAAAACTCTTGAACTGCGCAACCAATCCATCGGTTTTCCTGCGGTCGGGAGTACCAGCTGTTCCTCTTTTCTGTCTTTTCTACTTTTTATTTAATTTTTAGACCTGCGTGAAAGGCTGCTGGCAGGGGGAACGTCCATGCAACGCGATATATCAAGCCGAACGTTTCCACAGCGAGAAAGACAGAGCAAGTGATAAAGTGAGCGAGAGAGAGAGAGAGAGAGAGAGAGAGAGGAGAGAAAGAAAGAAATCTTCGGGATGCTGCGACGCGTGCATAACAACGATATATAAACGGCCGGCAATTATTCACCGAATGGTATGATAATGCTTGTGATTCGCGGAAGAGTCAACAACAACGTGGCAGATCCTCTCTTGGACTTTGTCGCCCGTGAAGCGCGCTCGTTGCATAAATAAGATATCGACGTGCGAATTCTACGTGCCGGGGCAATACTATTATTAAGTGAATAGGTCGGATATTAATAATCGTGAAAGACAATGTCTCTTCAAGAGACTGGCACAGATTAATCGGCGGCCGCAACGGGTAACGAATTCAATTTCCTTCGATCGCCATTCGTGCGGATGTAAACGCGCACAGTAGGTTCAAAGGGCCCGGAGCCCGCATTCGCTTTCTGACCACTGACACGTGATAATGAACGCAAAATATGTACGCCATGTGCCTCGGGTCCGTGAAACCATTTAAGAAAGACCGGAAAGGATAACAAAAAGAACAAAAAAAAAAGAAAGTTTTTCCTATCCATTTCTTTTGAGATAGTCGCTCTTGAGAGGTCTCTCCTCTTGGAAGTACAGGTAAGATTGTGCGCACTGAGCAGGCAAAAGTTCTTCTAAAAATAATTTTACTGTTTTTATTATGGAGTTGAGGCAAGCCAAGGAAATCAATGCTGACAAGGTCCGTCAGCGCG